AGCTTATTTAAACAATGTTTAGTATCGGTTCTATTTATGTTATTGATGTCATTTTCTTTTCAAATCTTTGGCCGATGTTAATAAAAATATTTACGAAATTTTTGAGTTGTAATTGATTTGCCACACCTGGATGTGCCGCCCCTAGCAGGCGCCGCCCCGGGCGGCCGCCCACTTCGCGCCTCCCTTAAGCCGGCCCTGGATATCAAACACTCTACATCTAACATTAACCGTTTTTGAGCAAAAAAATATTTTTAAAATTTTTTGAATGGAAAAAACTGTCTGTCAAAAAAATTTGTATAATCTAAACGTCAAACTTAGTGATTACCACAGTGTGACATTTTAGTTTGACATTTAATGTCAAAGGAAGCTGTATAGTATCAAGAAGAAAAAATATACACTTTAAAACTAGATCTAAAATAACTTAAAAACGAATAATTTTAGGTATAGGCACAAGATAACGAATTGAAAAACTTTTTTCTTAGTGAAATAAAAAAAAGTGGGGTTCCATTTGAAAAAAATGATTTATTATAATTTTTTAATCGCTCAATTCCATGACAGCTATGGCCAATATTATATGACATTCTAACAATTTAATTTTTGAAATAGATAGCCATATATTTTTTCTTTATGTCACAGTGACTGTGGTAATCACTAAATTTGACGTTTAGGGTACACAAATTTTTTTGACAGGCAGTTTTTTTCGTCCAAAATTTTAACTATTATTTTCTTCAAAAACGGTTGATGTTAGATATAGAGTGTTCAGTATCAAAATTGATAAAATTTTACAGAGAAAATATGTAATAAAAATAGGGGTACCCTTTTAAAATAAGAAACTTGTTGTCAACTTCCGGTATATCGGGAAGTGCCGCCATATTGAAAAGATTTTTAATCGATAGCTCTCGTGAAAAAATCTCCGATCTAGATATTGTAGTTCTCCAGAAACTTCTAATACACGCTCAGCGTGGGGCACCCTGTGTAAGTTTGTATCCAATTAACTTATTTTGATTCCAAAAATATAATAAAAGTTACTGTAATAGTTATATGTCCACGGAATATTGAGACACCCTGTATAGTCCACCAGTTATCCACCTTCAGTGTTAGTTTACTTGTCTTTTTAAATTAAATTATTTTTTATTAGCCGACTTCATGAAATTAAATAATTTGCACAGAAATTAAAAAAAATATTAAAGTGATAAACAAAAAAATTGCCCAATTGACAATTTAAAACAGTTTTTTTCCCATTGACACCAATAACATCAATAATTATTTACAGGTCCACTGGCGATAGCTGTTCCAGGGGAACTGAAAGGTTACTGGGAACTTCACAAGCGATTTGGGACATTGAAATGGGAGGATTTGATACAACCTACGATAGATCTTTGTAATAACGGCTACAACATGACCATGCATCAATATACTTCACTTTTCAAGAACAAAATCAACCACGATGACGAAAACTTTAAGTATGCTAATTTAATTTTTTTTTAATACTGATAATAAATTATTTATATTTAAGCCTGGACGTAAACAGAATGACCAGATTGACAGTTTTGGTCAAAACTCTTTTTGACTAAAATTATTTTGCTCTTTTTGGATGAGTCCAGCCTAAAAAATCCCTTAATCACTATGCGTTCATGTGGTTCGTCTAGTTGTTAATCTTAAAGAAATTAAATAAACTACATAGGCACGGTATATTAGTTATCATCTTTGATTGAAGAAATATGAAGATGCGCAACTTTATGGGCGACTTCGTGGCGCAAAACATGTCCGAGATGTAGCTGGCATTACCGTCAGCATGTCCGAGATTTAGTTTAGCTCAGCGCTGCTTCCCGCTGATCGTCGTTTATAGCCTCGTTTATAGCCCAGCGGACAAAGAATACTGTAGTTCTACTTTTCGTCGACAGAGTGAGTGATTGCCGGAGACAGTGTTGCCAGAACTACGGATTAATCCGTAGATTTACGGATTTTGGGTACAGTACCTTAATAATGGGAATTTTCCATCATTAATCAATTTAATATAATATTAAATGATTAAACAAAGAACGGCGTTAGAGTTGGCTTGGAAATGAAGATCGCTGTTATTTCATATGCAAAATATGTAAAATATTATATTAAATATCAATAATCGTCATTTCCAAGCCAATTAAACGACTTTTTTCGATCATACGAAATGTTCAGTATCTGTCATAGAATTTTTATTTTTGTTGTTTATTCTATGTTAAACACGAACAAATTTTCCATACATAAACGCGGATTTTCCATCTAAAGATATTTTCGTCAAACGTATTACAGTTATTACGCATTTTAATATGGCAACACTGTCGCTCTCAGTTCCACACAATTAGGGAAAATAAGTGTTTTATGCGTTAGCCGCAGAACAATTGGTAGCTCCACCGTACACTACTTGAGGCGTAAGGGGAAATTAAATCAGCCTTGTCACAAATTAGCCCATTATGTTGCGTATCACCGATTAAAAAAACTCGATAAAAAATTACGTAATAAGGACCCACGCAAACAACAAAAAGTAATAATATTATGACAGAATAATAAATGAAAAATAAATATTATTTAATATTTATTTGTAGTTCATTAGTCTTTAATAAGTAATGTTTGTCTAAATAGATATGATAAATAAATAAATGTGTGTGTGTTTTATTTTTCATGTATCAACATAAAATAAAACGTAATAATCAGATTTATCATGTATAGAAATAAAGAAGGCTAATGATATAATGTATAGAATTATAAATTAATATTAAAAGACCAAAGAATTACATTATGGATTTGTAACCATTTTTTAAAATTCAAACCACAGGTTATTCACTACCAGGTGCAGTATTCTTTGTTGTCTCATCTGCCGCATCTATTCTCGTATACAGAGCACCACTCTCTATAAGTAGGAGACATATTGACATCAAAATCAGATTTTCCATGTCAAAAACTACTCAGACACCAATTTCAATCCAGATATCGGCATTAGTTCAGAAGTGATTTTGAAAAAAATGATATAAAAATGATACTCCTTGTATCTTCTTAACATAGCATTTTAGGACATAAATTTATACGGGCTTTTTTACTTATTTTTATCAGTAAATTATGCTGCCGAAGGTTTCCGAATACAATTTGGACCACCCTGTAGATGTGTATATTGTATCATTTACATTTCTTTTTGGTATACATATTATGTTCTATATTGGATATGTTTATTTTAGAGAATGGTTTAAGGATGATAAGGGCAATTTTCGAACAGCTGGATCGAAAATAATACCAAGAAAACTTTGTAAAACCTTAACACTAATAGCGCTAAATGGAGGTGATTCATTGTATAATGGAACTCTATCAAAAATGTTCTTGGAAGATATCAAGGAGATTGGTGGAATAATTACTGCTGATGACTTGGCACAATATGAGTAAGAAACATTTATAATAAATTCTTAAGTATTAGTGAATGAGCTACTTTATATAAATTTATATATTTATGACAAATGCTAGTATCAATAACAAATTGTTGTATTTTACATTGTTGTTCATTACCTTCGTTTTATTTACATTCTTCTTTAATCATCTTATTGATGTCATTATCAAGATCATTTATTTTTATTCTCGTGTTTTTATTTATTGAATATTTTTATATAAACAAGAGAAAAATAGTGAGGGAAATGCTTGGAAAATGTATAAAAAAATAAGGAAAAGATTAAACGGCTCAGCCCTCAACAACTCGCAACCGTATACACCAGTGTACACCAGTGCAGACACGCACGCTCACATTCTCATACAAACACACCTACACTAGTGTACACTTATGTTACTGAAGGAAGCGATGAAACCGATCCCAAAACACAAAAAACTAAGAAGCAAACGATGCGACAAGGTACCGTGTGCAACCCAGGAGATGGAAAAAATGACGAAGAAACGAAAATCAATGATGGAAAATAAAAGGAGCAAACCGGAGCCTAAAGCCCCAATTTGCTGGTTCAAATCTGGTTCTGGGCTGTCTTTTTCTTATTTAATATTTTTATATGTATATTTTATAATTTAGTTTCCTTTTTTAGATTATTTGATTTGTATTGATATTTATAGATATTTGATTAATATTTTGATAGATATTGATATGATATTTTTTAGATTAATTTTATATTTTTGAATTGGCTATCGACCTCTGTTTTGTACGACCTGATTACGATCCTCTTCTGATCTTTAAGTTACATTCCCAAGTCCTACACTTTTTAAAAAGTCTATTAACTTGGAGACTGGACCTCTCTATAGCTATTTGTTTCAATGGCTTGTTATTGCTACTACAAAGAACCGCCCATTTGTCAGGCTGTTGCACTGACTAAAAATGCGTGCTGTTGGTTCTTCTTCAGATTGACAAAATCTGCACATGCCTTTGTCAGTCAATCCCATCAGCTTTATTATTATATTATATTATTATACCCTGCTGGCAAGCGAAACCCTGGGTCGGCGTTTACATGTATCGGAGTGAATCGCTATTGCAATCTAGTAAGTCAGAGAAAGCAAAAATACGAAGTATTTATTACATAATCACTTAATTTGACGCTAGATTCCATGCGCTTTGAAAAAGACTTGTCTTCTTTTAGTTGCAGCATGTTGACCGTACTCTTCGTACAGACG